CCAGGAAATAAGTGTTCAATCGTTTTAATCATTTTAGGTCAGTATGATCTCAGTAAACCAGATCCTGGTGAAGTCGATCTTTCAGTTCAGTCTCTTATAATCCATCGAGAGTTTCTGGCCGATGGCAGTCGATCCAATGAYATTGCTTTRATAAAACTTGGCAAAGATGTTGATCTTGGTCATGCTGCACGGCCCGCTTGTTTACCTGATAGAATGACCCGAGCTCGAGCAGGAGAGATGTGCTTCATGACTGGTATGATCATTTGARTAAATAATAAATAATTGTTTGATTGTTTTAGTTTTTTATTGGTTGATTATTTTTCTGCTTTAATYGTTTATGCAATTTTCGTCTCATTCCAAAGACGTCGTCCATACGTTGATTGTTGTTATTACGGGTCGCCTCCACACTTGTTGTATCCGGAATTTTCGAAAACGCTCTTTGCAATATATATGGCTGAAAGCTATCCGAATACTTGTGGACACGGAAATGTTGTAGAAAAATTGCAGTCTTGAAAATCGTGTACTTTTAAGGTYGTAAATTTGATGCAAGTGTCCAAATGCGCAGGGTAAAAATGATKTAAATGATTTACATCAAATTTCCATCGAATTCGCATCATTTTCCAGGACACTTACATCATATTTGCATCAAATTTACAACCTTTTAATACTCCAATTTCAATTTCTGTGTTTGCTCTGTGTTAGCCTCAAAACCAAGCAACATATTCTTTTGTTTCATTGATAGCCYGAGAAWACDCATGGAATTTGAAAAGAAAGACAATAGAATTGATTTGAAATATCACACTTTTATTCTCACAATTACGAATATTTTGCGCATAAAAGAGGCTAACACAGAGCATTGGAGAATTCGAAACTGGATTATTAAAGTGCGCGATTTTGTCCAGTGATTTAAGAATACAATAAGAATAGGCTTTCTTTTGTATTCTAATGAAATCCTAACTTGTGAAATATGTTTTTCTTAAACACCGTATTTGTAATAGGTTTATATATCCATATCTATATAACAATCATCATCAAAATGGTTGATCTGAGACCGATTGGAATTATATGGGTATTTCATTCTAACATAATAATTTTAACGTCATGCATCTATTCATGTTACAGTGCATTACGAATGCGAGGACTCTCACAAAGCGGTCTCAGGTCGACCATTTTTTTTATCATAAACAATAGATATATACAATATCCTTATTAGCATTACATAAACCATTAGGTAAACTAATGAATTCGTTAGACGACATTTTGTCTCAGAGTGACTACGCCCATTGTATAGGTTGGGGACGAACATCAARGGGAGGTGCGTTTTCAAACATCTTACAAGAAACTCAACTTCCAATTGTCAGTCATGACAAATGTTCAGCTAAAAACAAGCCATTCTCTAGAGTGGATAAATGGACCATGATTTGTGCTGGCTATGATAACAAGCCAACTAGTGGCTGCTATGGTAAGTATTTTTGCTCAATCTGTAATAAGAAAGACGACGGATAGATCGGTCTGATTGATCTCGTTAGCAAGTTGTCGTTGTATGGGGAATCACGTTTTGGGATTGTTCTGGGATGTTTTTGTGTAAAATATCGACGTGGCACGAACTGTATGCAAACTATGATGTTACGAGGGGGAGAAACACGTTTTCACCAAATAGCGTGTGTGACAACTTTCCGAATCTCCCTATATTTTTTCTGGTAATTTCTCATCTTCTATGGATCCCGGGAGTCGTTTATAGGACGATTTATCTGTATATAATTACTACAGTTAAGCCAATAATCCCGATTAATAGGATACTTCTTCTCGCGACCCGCGCGACTTGTCGTAAAAGAAACACAAAATTCCATACACAGCTAGGTGACCACTAACTATGCTTTAAAGTACAGTGAGCATAAAAAGAAAGATCTGCACTCATTGTTCCTTGGCGCCTCGTTTTGTGGTCACTAAACTGAATATGGAAAGTCGTGATTACGGCGTACAAACGCATGCGGGCTACGACTTGCCTCGAGCTTTTGAACTTCAAACTCGCACATGTCATAAAAATGATGCGCGTGCTTCAAGTCGGACGCGACAAATCGGATCTTGTTAATTGGTCTCATTGGCGTAACTGTAATCATACATTTATATATGTCAAATTCAACATAATTTCTTCGTGTAATGCTTCTTAGGTGATAGCGGCGGCCCATTAGTCTGCGAAGARCGTGGTCGRTGGGTTCTACGAGGTTTAGTGAGCTGGGGTGCTGTCAACTGTGATGGACGACAGGCCTATTCGGTATTTACACGAGTGGAACATTACATGCATTGGATGATGTTCAGCATGCTGTTTCCACAGAGACCGTACTCAAGTTAGTAAATAAGATTCATCTTTAATCGTTATTTACTGTTCTCGTTGTTTTGGGACGAAAGATATGTCTTCTTGATCGAAAGCTCACCTAGGCTTGGTTTTCCGACGCCATCAATATACTGATATTGCTTCATTTTGMAGGTCTATCATGATTGGTAAGCCAAAAGAAATACCTGCTAGCACAGGGCGCCCAGGCTCAGCACTTGTATTGCTTTCGCTGCGRAGTCGTGTATATTGAGTGGTCCACGGTTCAAACCCCAGATGAGGCCGGATTTTTTTCCCTTGGATGCCCTGTGCTGCAAAATAAAGCATAAGGTCCAAGGAATGAGAGTATGCAGTAAATGTTTGTGTTTCTTTACAGGGTGTCGAGATAACCATTGGTCCTGTTTCAGCTGGAASAAGAAAGGGCTTTGCACTAACAACTACTTTAAAGAGTCCCTACGCAAGTACTGCCCCGAGACCTGCGGCTATCGCTGTAAATGAACGCTTATTATTATTAGAGGTACTAAATTAATTGCCCCGGAAACCGGGAAACTAGTTAAATAAAGCTATATGAAATATTATTATATTGTCTTTCAAAACACATCAACATTAGGGCATAAACAATTTCCATGTTAAACTCTCTCCCGATTGTCCCTTGAACATGGTGGAGTTCCACCTATGCTTCTAAGATCTATATAAGTTACCGAAATAGTAAGTTACTGAAATTTCTCATACGAGCTAACTAGTAAATACAGTTACAGTTACAGTTACAGTTACAGTTCAAATAAGTGATATTACATATGACACAATCCCTTTGTTTGGATTCTTATTTTTTTAAATATCTGGGGGGTTCCTCACTAAAGTCCTTATCAACATGCGACCTTTAGGATAGAAATGACTTTCTAACAGGCGTCATGCGCATTTCAACGCCATTCAAGAATTGTTTGGAAGATTTGAGTGAAGGCCCACCTGGAGATTTCTTAAAGTTTCATTAGCGATTGCTTACAACTAATCAGTCACGTATATATAAATGGGTCTCTACCTTTGATGAATAAAATATACACAGCTTTGACTACTATAAAAAGCAGTTGTATCCCCTATAACAATCTTTATCTTTTAATGTCTTTTCAATTTTAGAAAGAAGATTTCGTGGAAYACAAGCTAATCAAGTAATGCATTTGGGATAACGCTTTTGGTTGTTGATTTTGCAAGCATTTTGACGTCAATAAAAGACTTRTAGTCATTGACATATCATTTTCCATGTATTCTACTTGTATCGATGTGCATATTACCACTGCCCTTTTCGGCCGCAGGAATGGAGAACATTTGAAAGAGATTTTAGTTTCTAAAATGAGACAAGGCAACTTTTYAATGTGTACGAAGAATATAGAAACAATATAGATATGAAATACCGGTGAAATGTACGCCATTTGGTATTATGGATTGAATTACTTAAGGGAAAACTTTCCTTTGTTCTGTTACGTGGATTTTCCGTTGTCAACTGTTCAGTAGTTAATCGAGAAAGAAAACAAAATGGCGTAAAACTCAATCTGGCGGGCGTAAAAGGAAAAACAGAAGTGAGGAAACAAAACGCATTTTGCCATTCTATTAACTTATATACCAAAATCATAGCTTAATACTATACAAAAATGAAARCAGTCAGTGATCGTAGAGCACCAAGATGTATTAGCGTGAACGCTATGGTACGTGTTTTCACATCACTGTACTTAACACGCGTTTTTTTAAGCTTTAAATTAATATCACTCTAAATCCCACAATTTTCGCATACACAACGTTGGCCACATTACCAGTATGGTTAGTCCTTGCGGTGTTATGGTTRGCGCATTTGCGTGCAAGGGATTAAATTCCTCTGGGTTGGATTTTACCGAAATTTCTAGTTACTGCGGCGAGGAAATTTTACCGACAAGTTCAAGGCAMTCTCCTTAGGCAATGTACTGGAAGAGGAGASAAGCTACGGCTTTTGTGGAGGTATCGAGCATTTTTTAATTTAAAGTACKMMTTTTTTAACAAKAGAGACGGMCTCACATTTTTTTCCTCCCAATGWGGGTAGCCGTTGATTTCGTTGGGCACATTCGAGATCGTKCTAAAGAATAATAAGTTATAATGCACTTATAATGCACTATTTCGTCTTCTTTCCAGCATGTYTTTGTGGCCATGTTGTAAAGGTGAGATGAGCAGGTTGCATGCGATAGACGTGTTGTGTAAATTGGCCTTCAAAGTCCCCTCCCTTCGTCGATAACAAGTCGAATTTATATATGCATGCTTTAGAGATATTGTCGCAAAAAGGMCTTTAAAGTGGTTTTAACTTAGCTATATTAAGGGCCTTCGGCCTATTTAAGGGTTATTTTTTGTACAATAGAGTTTCAAAACATAATCAGGTCAAAATCAATAAGAGTGTTCTCTTCCCTAGTTTCTGAAGAGAAGTGTCGGGATACTTTACCGTTTGAAAACCAAATAATTGACAGTATTTATGTTGGCTAGCCATGAGGGTTAAAGTTTGATCGATTAATTGACAGAAAAACAATTGAAAACTGCTGTCCATTTTGTGCCATGGATAATTTTCTCCCCTGACAATGGTTTTAAAATATGATAGAATACTTTATTGTCTTACACTAACTAAAACCGTTTTTGCTCGAGTTGTCAGTCATATTCGTCTAGCTATCGTTCCGCTCTCTTCTGCCAGCTGTTTCGACCGGGGCTGGTAACGTTACCTGACATATAGGGTCTGTTTCTGATTTTTAAAACTAATTCACTTGATGGGCACATTTTAACTTTTGCTCTTGATAGCGACAAACTAAGTGGAGGATAGTTATGTCGAGTTTTGCAAAAGCAACGATCATTTGCTCTGGTGGGAAATTTTATGGAAGTACATGTAATGTTTACACAAAGTGATGTTATTTCCAGATATCGCTTACTTAACAAAGCTAAGCTATTGCTCATTCACAAATKATAATCTAATGGACAAATCAGTTGCAGGCATTGGTAATATCTGCCCTTAGGACATATAGAAATTGCCATCACGTTGGAGGGCTTGTAAGTGTGCAGAAAACGTTATTTTGTAATTATTGAGCTGTCGATACGTGTCACAGTAAGACTATATAGCTTACGTCAGTAAGTAGTTTTAATAACTGACAGTTGTGTATTTAGCCCACGCATTTAACCGTTCAGGGCAAACATACGGTTATAAGTAATAATGCTATTTGCGTAGACCACTATTAAAATCTCACTTGGTTCAACCTGAGAGACCACTGAACGTTGAAAGCACAACAGTAAATATGTTGAGGGCAGTTTTGTTCCTTTTGTGTGTTTTGCCCTTTGTAATATCGTCCAGCCAAGGTAAGCACTATGGCACGACTTTTTACATGRTMTTTCTCCTTTGATTTCTCAGTAAAGAGTAAAAGTGCAAACTTTAATAATTGTAAAGTCGTTAACAGTATCGAGACTCTTCAGTGAAAAGTGTATAGCATTCTTTTGGGTACGTTTAGTGTAAAAGTCTCTACTTTGGTACAAATAYTGTTAACAGTTGTAAAGCTGGTTTTCAGGTTCTAGTTCTAGTTAGATACATATCGATCAGAAACTAGTATGTCATTTCAAAGAACCACACTAGTATCTCGATAATAAGCAACAATCGTATCTCATTTTCAATGCTGCGAATTTTATGTTTTCTTTCAAAACATAACGTACTTTATTGTAGTTAATGCGCTTAGCAAATGTAAATCATAAAAAAAGAAACAAACTTTGGTTTACCACACTAAAAAGAGATATTTAAATGTATTTAATCACGCATACTTTAAAATTGACGTTATTGATTCATTAAATAGTTTAAAATACTTCTGAAACTCATGTATTTCACGTCTACAAATGGCGGCTCWTTTTTAACGATTTATTCCTCATCGCAACGTGAAAGTGAAAAATAGGTTTTCTGAGTAAACAACCATGGTCGGTCTAGTATTGTTGATAGATTAACTCTCTAACCCAACCATGTCCTGCTTATTGTTTTTATCGTCTTTATCCTTTCAAAACTTTGGTCTTTTGTATCAGTTGACGCTTACCTTTATTCCGAATTTTCTTGAATGCAATTTTTTTTTTTAAATCAGATCTAAGTAAACATTGAAGAAATAAAGCATTTTTTTGTGYCCTTTCCTAGCGCTATGAAAACGAAGGAGTTTGTTTGGGAGAATTTGATTTTAGATCATTAAAGCCAGTGATCGACCTCTGCGTCGTCCGGTCGAGAATTCCCCGCAATGATGAAGAAATTTTTCATAGGGAGGGGCTGGCCTAGGWCTTGAATTTATTAAGAGAGACTTTTAAGTTTTAACAAAAAGCGATCAAGGAGAAGATAGTGGAATAGCAKAAAGAAATCGCAGGCTGAAAAAAACATTGAAAATATCTCCAATCAAACACACACAGCAATATTGTTTKATGTATTATAGATCAATTTTTTGCCCACTACACAATTGACACTTTAAGGAATCAGTTTGGGCACTTCAACAAAACTGCGTGGTCTGCTTCTATTGTTTATTTTTCCCAAGGGAAAATAAAACAAAGAAACCTGGCTGTATACTGGGCTGACCAACAGGACGTCACTATCCCGTTTTGTAAAGCTTGTTTTTGTCTATGGTGTTAAAAGCAAGAGAGCGAAATACAGTATCTTTCCGTTGGCGGTATACGGTGACTTTTAAAGAAGCCATGTGATTATCGATGTTTAATGACATGGAATTCTACAGYGCGTTTTAATTCCACCGCCTGTGAAGTTTATTTCACTTAGGAAAARTATATAGCACTTTACAGCAAAACAATTTTCACCGCCAACTTTGTTTCAATTAGATTTTCAAAGCTGTGTTTTTGTTTAATTTTATACCACTGAGTTAATCAAAATGTGTYCGCATTTTTCATTTTATAAATGAGCACGTCTTCACATTTTCACATGCTAATAAAGTACAGAAATGAGTTTGTGAGAATTCGAGAGCAAATCAAAGAGAGAGAAAGAGAAAGAGAGAAAGAGTCGTTACAAGGTCAAAGAATGGAAAAGATTACTGATATCAGCAATGAAAAACAGCATTGTGGCAAAGTACACAATCCTTTTGGGAGTCSGCTTCTGTTAAGATCAATGTCAAGATACGATAAGAAATCTTCGTTCTGGATTTCTCAGTTGATGAATTTTTTTATAAAGCTGCTTTATATTAGCGTAGAAAACGTAACTTGTGATTTTCAAGTGTACCAATCATGACACTCTCCACCGCGAAAAATACAAACTACTAAAAAACTAGTTAACAAATTATATACATTCACTCTACAGTTTGTTGGTTTTGGCAATTCATGAATGCTTGCAACACGGTTGTTTTTTTTTTGTTTTTTTTTAACATATTGGTTATATTGGTTGGAGCATTCAATCTAGTTTTTTAATAACATTTCTGATAAAGATCGTTCACACAACGTAATTGAAACTATTGAAATTTAGGTATGTGAAAATAACATCTGCAAGAAAGAAAGGACAMTAGAAACATTGACGGCAATCTCGTTGAGGAGCAAATTTTCCATTTTCTAAGCCGGGTTTCTTTTTTATGATTCGTGGAACTCTGCATGGTGATATAAGTAATATTAATAGTGTTTATTCAGTAACTAGGTTGCGATTTGCAGTCTTTCGCAATRTAATTGCACTAATAAATTATTAATGATCTGAACCTCAGTAGRTACTATCTCTCTCGCCCTGACCTCAGGTATAAGTGATGTGCGTCATCCTCGTACGCAGTAGGCTCTGGGACACCCTATAAACCGGTTTATGCTCTAAGCTCTAACAGCAGGGACATTTGTCTGCGCATGCGTGAGTCAAATAGCGCGCGGTATACCTGTGTCTGGCGGGAAACTTTGAAGATGCAAGTAAATATGGCGAAGGCTATGTTGAGAGCTGGTGTCCTCTCTTTTGTATTCATTTGCGTGTGTTTTACTCTTCCCATGAATAATCAAAGAAGATGTTTTGAATGTAGATGAAACTGTGCAAAAATAGTCCAATTTAGGGTAAGTTTAAGAACTTGTTTCGGCATAAATACGAGCAGTGATTCAATTATTCTACTCGAAGGTGGAAATTTTTACTAAAATTCGCACGTCTTTGTACGTTGATTTGAGATATCCACGCAATTTTCAAAGGCGAAATTACAATTCTATTCTTTTTAGAATTACATAAGATTTTAATTTAGGTAGGTTTCCGCTCTGGGCACGTCCCCGGTTTTTCAAGAAATAGTTTTAAACCAGTGGGCC